CAATATTTCGAAATTTAAGGACGCTAATTTACTTAAAATGTATACACCCCGGCTTATCATGTAGCGGTAGCTTTCGGAAAGGTGGAAAACATATATTTAATACTTGCGCCGGGTATTTAATGTTCGGCTCCGCCCGAACTTAGACTTTCTTACTTGTTTAATTTAATTTGCTTTTAAGTTTATGTTTTAAGTTTATGCTTTTAAGTAGTGATTAATATAACCATTTATTTTTTTTTTTAACTTTTAAGTGTTATTTTCTTATTTTCAGATCTAATTTTTGATTTAAAAAAATATTTTTCTTTAATTTCATTTAATTTTTAAAAATATTTTGATTTATTGTTGCTTAATATTCATTTATTTTTTTTTTTTGTAGTTTTAGATTAGAAATCCCAAGCTACCTTGAACTTGCTCCTGGAGCATTCAAAGCAAGTAGGGAATGGAGCACTACTCTTTCGGTGGCCTCTAGCATTTCCCTTGTCCGACTTACTTAAAGAGACCATAGTGAGTTTTCAGAAAATTGCATTGTAGATGAGTTGGTCAGGAAAGACATCCTCGTATGCGACTCCTGGAATAAAGAGTGGGAGTACCTTTTACTATAGATGGACTACTCTTGAATAGTCCAAAATGCCTCGTCTGAACTCAGAGAGCGCCTGACGAAAAGCAGAACATATGCAACTGCAAGGTCTGTCTGACTGAGGTAGGCGGTTAAGGGATCGTCAAGGGCTCAAAAGGCCGTCCTTCTTCTCTTGTTTTTGCGCTATAACCGCCTAAGAGATTTTGGTCGAGTTCAACAAATACCCTCGTTTTTTTCAGCTGCCCAATTTTTGCTAGGTTACGATCTCCTGTCTGAGAATTTTCGTTTTTCGTTATAACTTAGCGCTTGGCCTAAGTATGCGCATGGATCAAATACATTAACCTTACCTAACCAATTGTCGAAGAGTCAATCAGTTAATTATGTACATATGTATGTACATGTCTTTAATTTCAAAATATGTACTTTTTTATGCTCTCCAAAAATCTGTTCAAATAAAAGAGATTACGTGTGTATATTAGACTGGTTAAAAAAAATCGGATATTCATTTTTTCAAAATTGTTTGTAAAATACCTTCGGGACAGAGAAATATGTTAAGATTTAAGGGTCGCACCTCGCGAATTTTTTTCCCCATATAAATAACACAGGAAAAATTTTTTTCAGTTTCGAAAGTTTATAACTCATCAAAACATTATGATTAGAAATTAAAATTGAAACAAAATAATAAGTCAGTATAAATAAAAAAAAATTAATTAAAATTAGGAAATTAGAACATTTTCTTCAAAATTTTATTTTTAATGCGGAAATGTTGCTAGAGCATATAGATGCATTTCTGCATTAAGAAAAAATTAAAAAAAAAAATGTCGCTTACATCTTTTTGGCGGCTCGGGCTCGATATGTTCGACTTTAACCTTAAATAACTTTTGTAGCAGTGAATTTATTTTTTATAACCTTCAATTTGAAAAAAATAAAAATAAAAATTATAAAATTTCAAAAATTGAGATAATTTTTTTCTCGCGTATTTGTGTAGATATGTATGAAAAATAGATATTCGCGATGAGCGACCACTAAAACTTAACTGCTGAGCTTTCGGCAGGCGTCTTTTTCACTGTCCCGAAAATATTCCCCAAGGAATAAAAAAAAATATGTAGATTTTTTTGAACCAGTCTATGTATCCTGAAATAAACTATCTTACATTTTTCCACCTAAACAAGCATTGAGATTGTTTTAGATTAGTTTTTAATAATTATTTTTATATAGTTAACGATCAACATTTTTATTTATTTCAGTGTCAGAGTAGTAAAATAAATTTAATTTCGCAATAAAAAAGTGTACTTTAAATCAGCATGAAATCATATTTTTAACATACTTTGTAGCATCAAAGAGCAGAATGTATGAATTTGCACAATTTGCTGCTCGATTCAAAAATTTTCTACAAATCGTCTAAATAAAACCCAAGCAATTTATGTATCAATTGATAGCGGGAAATCACAAAAAAAAATTATAATTAAACACGTACTCACTTATGGAGAAGTGCATGGCTAAGCATTTGTGTGGCTATAAAAGCACATGAACATTAACAGTTAATTTAATTAGCTACTGAAATTGTTTATGACTAAATATGACAAAAAGAAAACAAACGAAATAGAATTTTATGAGCTAAAATTTTGCAACATAGCGCAAGGTCATGTTACGACATCATTTGTATGTGACGAATTTAAGTTTTCGTGTTTTTGTACTTTTGTGTGTTTTTTTTTTTACTTAGTGTTTGTTTTTTTTTTGCGAACTGGGTAGCATGTTTCTTTTATGTTTGTATGTATAAGACGAAAAGCATGCATTGTCATAAAGAAAATATACGAAAAAAATAATAAATCTAGTTTCTTAAAATTTTTTAAGTTTTTTTCATCATCGAACAGAATTTAAAAAAAAAACCGAATAAAGCCTTTACGTTTGTCAATAAATTATAATTACATTTACAAACATGTTTTCTATACTCTGCCCCTTGGCTGCAATGCAAAATTATTATCACCATCAAAATTTTATGCTCCACAATTTGTACTCAAACAGCCAGCCACCAGCTGTGAGAGGGCAAACATTAAATTACAAAAAATGTGCTGCACATAAAAGTCGTAGCATTAAATTTTAACTAAAATACAACTTTGTGTAAGTTTATTGCTGCAGCAAGTCATAGCCACTTAACACATACAACCCCCATGCGCTGCTCTGTGGTGCGCTTACTCTGTGCTCACTACCGGATACAATTCTAAAGCAACACGGAATCTGTTACATTTCGCAATATCCACAAATCATTAACGGTTAAGTAATGAGCCATAACAAATAGACAGCCAATACACCATAACTTTCTGGTGTTTATTTATGGCTGCACTGCACAGCATTTGCCCTCACTTTTGCCACCACATACAGTTGACTCAATTCTATGCTAATATTTAAGTAAGTAGTGCGGCGTCTATGCCCCCGATGCTGCTGTGAAAACGAAATTAGCCATAATCAATGGTAATTATTGTTGACTTACAAATTAGGTGGTGCACCGTTGTTACTTGAAACAGATATATATATATTTAAAGCTATTCCGCTTTGTTTTAACCCACTGCTTTACTTAAATCACTTTGCGATTTGAAGGCTGCGCTTTGCTTTTTGTTGATGTGGGGTGTTAGCCGTGGGCAGTGCTTAGGGTGTTTTAGCTTTGATTTCTAAACGAAATGTGATGGTCACGTCTTGTTGTTTCTGATTTGCCTAATTGGTGGTATTTAACTCAACATTTTGTATGTCAATTATGGTAATTTCGCGCTAAACAAAAGACTTATGATACAAACTTGTGTTGTATGTAGCAAAAGGTAAAAGGAACTTGCAAATTGTTGTAAAGATAATTTTAATATTGAAAGTTGATCAATGACGAATTTATTGATGCATAAAATAGTCTTCTTTTGGCTAGAAAATTTTGTAAAGCTATATATATT